GAGGGAAGGTGATGGGAGGGCGAAGAAGCTCGGGGATGGATGACCCTATCTCTAGCACAGTACTTTTCAAATGACGTTGATCCCGTTTTGCACAAGGAGTCCTTCACATGCCCCTCCCTTCAATGTTATTAGCGCTCACTTTGGCCATTCACTTTAGGATGTGCCGTGCGTTCGACATCCATTCGGACTTGCAGGGTATTCAAAAAGTATTCGGGTCTTACAACAGTATGTAGGAAACAATGCAACGTTTTTATCTCCCCAGGCAAGCCTGGCACCAATCAGTGATTGAAGGGGAGGAGGGGGGGGGTGGTACAAAGACTCGCTCACACCGGGTGGGAACCGCGATTCAGCACATTATTCCTGGTCCAAGCGCATGGTAAGCGTTACCAGGGAAGTGTTTGCCGGAAGCCGTTGCTGGAAGGATATGGGTCTATTTGCGATGGGTGTGAATCAGTCCCAGATTTTTCTACCGAATCAAAAATGTCGTGCCACTTACCATGATCCACCACCAATCGGTGTTTGACCATTTGCCGCCCGTTCAAAAAGCACTCATAATCGGCGTTATCTTCACGCGACACCTCCATAATCACCAAACCACCTGCGTCGGTGAACAGAAGACGAGTAGACGGCGCGATTCTAAATGTGGGCAGAGTTTGAAATGAGGTGAGTTGAAAATGGGCATGCAACTCACGTATTCCCGTCACGTTTCCAAACAGCACCAGGGGCACCGGCAAGATGAACAGTATCACCTGGATAGGCAGCCTGGGTACGGGGTTTAGCAGAAGCAGAACATTCGGATGAACCACGACCCGCCCACGATGAGATCCATCTGAAAGGAACGTTATGAGAACGACTTCTAATGAAAGAGTTTCATATGACATACCCCAAACTCTGGCCATGAGCCTTCTCTCGCGGATAGCACGCCGATCTGGCTACATGCCAACTGCAGTATGGATCGACAGCGCATAGAGCGCACGATGAATACATGGAACATGCCGCTAAGGTGAACTGAGAGACGGCAGAACGAGATGCAAAGTAGAGGAATTCTGTAAGTAATTTGAGAAACAGTTTTGATATAGCCTCAAATATAATCCAGATAGGCTAGGAAAAACTTTTTTCTGAGGGAAGGTTCCGAAATTCCTGTTCGGGAAGGGGTAGACGGAAACTTTTTGGGCGCTGAAGGAGTTGAGAAGAACAGTAAGCGAGACAGTGTCACTGACGACAAGTACAGTCGTTATCACTGCTGTCAATCGGGGCGTGTCAGGGCGCGTAGGCGTTTGGCGAGGCGTCAGCCCCTTTCTCACTACTAATTGAACGCCTGAAGCTGCTATGATCGATGGGAAAGCAGGCTAGTATCGCGTTGCAGATACGCCCCGATTGAGTTCGGTGGTAATGACACGAAGACTGTGCTTACTGCTTCCCTCGCCTCTCTAGAAGAATGAACAAGTTTTTTTGAAAGTAGTAATAGTTTGATAGATTAGCTATCCAAAGCAAGTGCTTCTAAATGATAGAATGTAAGAACTACAAAACTGCTCTATTCTGCTTGAAGGGGGCATCCTGCTCGCCAGTTCCCTGCTAGTTCAAGTTGAATGACAGGTCTCACTTCAACAGGCCTGCAAACCCCTGTGAAGCTGAGAAAGGTACAAAAGAGCTAGCTAGGTCACAAGAAGTTACGGATCTTTACAATTTTCTTGTATAAGCCTGACTAAGCACTTGTAGGCCACCCCCACCAGGCCGATTTGCGCTCGAAATCGTACACCTACCTCCGGTCAGGAGCGCCATGGCCTTGATCGTCCTCCAACTCCAATCTCTCTCCTTTCCAACTCTAGCCATTTCCATGCGTTACCTTCACGCCAGTGAGACACCTTCCAAAGTGTGTTCGATCTGAACGTCACATGAAAATATGGGTATTGATTTTTACGCTGGAGAACAGCGAATGGATCCTGAGTATACACTCAAAAGACCTCATAACAAGTACATATAACATTTGGAAAGCGATCCAATTTCATAGAAGATTCGAAGTTATTATAACCTGAAAAGACACGCGTCTCCCACCTAATTAATATGAAGCGTTACAGCTGACTCTATACCCAAATGGGCGGGGCTCGTGAGCGCGGCGCGGTTGCGATGCGGTGTGATCTTCCACCTAGTTGCTTGTAACTGGTACTGCGTGATGAATTGACCAAATGATACTACTGCTTTGATCATCCTCTGATTATGGATTGGCGAAAAGTCGCAGAAGTTCCTTATCACCCCTAGTAGTAGTGGACTCGTAAACAGTCTGACTCTGCTCACCTGCCATCCAGTGCGAAAATCACGTTCTGTTCGCTACGTACGTCGACGGCAATATGCGTAAAGATGACGTCGCGTGTAGCCAACATTGGCGTTCCACCTGCACATTTAATCATTCATCGAAAATCGATTATCGATTAGGGCAGCGATGCAGACGGTCACAAACCTGACACAGGTTCAGCCATTAGGAGGTGAGATTTTGCGAAATGTAAGTCGGAGTCGGACAACGAGTGTGAATTAGCGACACACTGAAATTGAAATGTGCACTTGCAACATAATAAACGAGTAAATAAATAAAATGTGATGACGTCAAAAGACCTACCGTTCCAGGCCGATGCTCTGGCACAGCGTCAGCGGGTAATGGAAGCCAATTGGGGCTATTTGGATCGACGAAAAATCCATGATGAAACAGCTAAATATTGAGCCTTCTTCATCGCAGTAAAATTTATCGATTGATCCAACTTATTGATTTTTGGAGCAGTACCTGATTGATACTTTTGAATGAGAACACGCAGATCGCTGACGTGACGAATGCCGTCTCGGAAGTGCTCATTGTGGCATAGAAAAGCGTGTCATCAGAGGTCTCGACACGTGTGACGGCTTCTGAAAGGAATACGGTAACTACCGTATCACCACTACAGTAATACTTTGTATTCCTCGATGATAATATTTCGATTATTCCAGCCATTTCGTTGTGAAGTCCACCTTTCCTCAATAAAGCCACAGAAAGGCTTGTCTCCGTATCAAATTGATATGGTAAGGAAAAGTGGCGGGATACAGTACCCGGAACCGCGCGTAAAATTGTGTGCGTAGGAGCCTTGAGTGCACAAAGGACCACTCAGATTCCGTTTAGACAGCACCTGGCTACAGATGGAGTGCTTTTTTGAGGCCTGTCTCGCTTCCTGATCTCACTGCGAAGATACTTCCCCCGCAACTACGGCTTAGGCCCAATTGATTGCGTTTGCGGCCAAGACACACAATTCCACGCGCAATTTTGGGTACTGTATTAGCTTTATGGGATTGCGCGCAAAACTTCAGCACTTACGTATACGATCAAAGTAGTATGGATACTGTGCTGAGATGGAACAATTCAGACGAGCTTTCAAAAACGATGTCCACACTTGACGCAAAGACCACGCGACCACCGACGTCCTTCTACAAACAATACATCAAAATATCGATCCATATCGATTGGACGGTTGTACCCTGGGTCCCTAACCAACTTACCTTACATACTCTTGCCACTCGACTATAAACCTGTCGTTCTGGGCTTCCGCTTTCGATAGCAATTTCGCGAAAGAAAAAATACACATGCTCTCCGACATCGAAGGATCCGACAAATTGTGGTTCTACAATAATATAAAACTATTCATAGAAATAAAATGAAATAGTAAAATACAAATTCGTGTCAACATTTACAGAGCAAGGAAGTGTTTGTGCTTCATTTCCTCACGCCATTCAGCGCTTTGGCTATAATACTGCCAACAGGCATAGTTAGCAGTCGCAAGAAGGTATGTATCGCAGCCGATGAGGGCGCTTGTTTGGATTAGAACGGGAGGGGAAGGGGGCTTTGGCCAATTCGGTGCTCTTGCTGTATTAAACTAACAAGTCTAAGCTTTGATGGAGACCGTGTAAACTGTTGTAACAAGCTTGCGTATGACAAGCTGGAGCTTCTTTGGTTACAGAAATTTACAAGTCTTCAAAAGGTAGTTTGCACAAGCCGCTGAGTTTCATTCTGTGCCACCACCAAGCCGACTTGGCTGCTGCTATAATCATGAGGAGTTCCATTCGATCTGGAGCAGGGATCGAACCAGCGACCTGGAGATGTACGCCCAGCGCAGTTCGGCGACGGGAGAGGAGGAGGGGGGGGGGGCTCTGCCTTGGCACTTTCGTTGCTACAATAGTTCCGGTTTACAAGTCTCACTCCGGTGAAACCTGCGAACTCTTGTGAAGCTGGAGCAAGCTCGTCAAGCCATCATGGTGAAACCTGTCAACTCGAGAAGAGGCTGTCCAGATGGGTGGACGCGTCGATGGAAAGTAGCAAAAGTGCAAAAAGCCCCCTCCGTCGCCGAAGTGTGCCTGTACGCGCGTTGTCTGTGCTACCGAACGCCCGCTCTTAACATGCATAGGTAATGAGACGTGGAATACTGGAATGAAGGCCATAAATCAGTGAGAAAAGACAGATAGCTATTTTTCGGTTTGCGGAGGAGAGCGGGTGGGGCATTCAGCACTTTCACAATTTCCCATTTACTTGTCGTATAGATCCATGAAATCTTGTAAAGTCATTAAGTTCCTGTCACCTCTTGTAAAGCCATAAGCACGACGATGACAAGTAGCGAAAGTGCAAAACGCTCCTCTTCCGACCTCCGACCCTCTCCAAGCCGAACTACGCCCTATTTTCTTCTGACAAAACGTCCATCCTTGTACTGAATCAAATGCTGCCTGTCTTTACACCTCGCCAGCCGACAACGCCCGGCCAGTTAACGCAATAACGCAGAACATAATTCGATTGCAGTTCTTCAATAAGCGTTCGTTAGGAATGGATCGATAGTGCCAGCGTCTACCTCAGATGCTACTAAAATTTACATGGGTGAGCTAGGATTCCACTGTCGTCGTGCGATGCTACATCCAATATCTCACAGATAGAATGGGCGTGGCCGCGTGACGCCAGACAGGATGATAGTTGCCCTCAAACAGAAATATTCCATGAAAAACGTATTCAACGCCGCGTTTAAATGAAGTACGCAGCCCCGCTTACTCCATTATTGGGACATGGGTTATAAATAGTCTCCTTCGAGACTGAATTCAAAGATTCCCTTCTAAAATCTCAGTCTACTTCTGTAATATGGGTGTGGACAGACTCACCATTGCGCGTTCAATATTGGTGCGGCTCCTGCTCTTTGTTATTCTAGAAGGAAGGCATGGTGGGAGACCGTCTTCACGTATACGATCAGCCTAGTCTGTGCTCCACTCAGAATACATCATTGTTGGAAGAATCAAGGGAAATCGTTCTGCTGGCTGGGTGAGAGAAGGGGTATATGCTTCTAAGAACAGGGTCCAACATCGTTGTATGAAATACATAGGGGGGTCGTACTTTTCCGCTGGGGAGGGGGTCGTATTTGGTCGTTGGGAGAGGGGGGTCGTATGTGCCTTTAAGAGCAATTTGCTGCGTTGGGAAAAATTTTTCCTGGTTGTTGACTTTTCGCGTGATTTTCTTTTCATGTGTACTATATGCCCCCCGCCCCTCGCTCGACAGCAAAACCTTTGGGGAAAAGTAGGAAAACGTTTGGGAAATTCCGGAAAAAATGGGGAGTGGTTGGGGGAAAACTAAGAATTTTCTAGTTTCACATTGGCCATATACTCCCCCCCCCACCCTCCGCTCGAAGGGAAACCTTTAGATGAAAAATTGAGAAAGTGGGAAATGGGTAGGTACGTAGGTAGGTGTGAGGAGCTGGGGGGGTGTCGTAACTACACCACCATTTCACACATCACGATGCTGTACCCTGTCTGGGAAAGAGATATGACTCCGATGCGCGAAAAGCTTTTTGCGGTTGTTCAGTCTTTCCAGCTTTGTCCTGTGATCAGTGTAACCTCCATTATCCCCGTTGGAGCCGCTAACGAAACTACTAACATAGCGTGAGCTAGGCTCCGCACGGTGGAACCTCGGTGAGTTGAGCGCAGTTATTGCTGGGTTCTTCGGGGGTTTCGGAACACGACGTCGGAAACGCTAGAGTGGGGGAGGCGCTTGATCGGGTAGGTGACAAATTGAAAGCTTCGAGCCATTTTCAGGCCTCTGAAGAAGACGAGAAGGTCGAAACGTCGGGCCAATAAAACGGTTCTATCTAAAAACCTCGTTTGGCAGAAATAACTAAACATTCGACATCATGCCGAGGTTACAAGAAGGGAGAACTTGGAGATTACTAGAAGGTTCTGACAGTAAATTAGTAGCTGATTCATGAAAACTCCGATCTGCAAGTTTTTTAGGGAAAAATGAAAATATTGGATAACTGGGAGAAAATCAAAGGAAATTGGAAAACTAAGGAAGATGGTACGCAGGAAAGGGAAGGGGTTACCCACATAAGGAAATTTGGGAGTGGGGAGGGGCATCATACTGACACCGCCATTTCACATATCGCGATGCCGTTTGCTGGTTACACTAATAAGTTGTTTGGCTCTCAAAGTATTGTAAAAGAATTGAAAATAGAAAAAAATGCCAAAGATTAAGAAGATGGAATCCGCAGTTGAGGGGAAGCTCCTCACGGTCTGTCAGCACAGCAGTCGAAGAGATATGTCACTTTGAATAATCGCCAGCTCACGAAAACAGAATGGCTAGTTTATGGCACCCTTGAGTCACCAGTGAGTGAGGGATACAACCGCTCCCTTCTTGGAGATGACCCCGCCTGCTTTAGGGGACCATGGAGAAGGATCTGGCCCTAGAACCGAAAGGAAGACATTTATTGCTACTGATATCTCACATAGTGGCTCAGGACTAGCCAGATTAAAAATGAAATTGAAAATTCCAAGAGCCTTTCAGCCTTTTTACGCTGATAAATACAGAATTACCTACCGTACAACCATCGATTATCCGTGTAGACACTCCTCAGACTGGAATGCACCTCTTTTCCCTTGTCGACGAGAGCGGGTCTGTAGATCAAATGATTTTCGCCTGCCATACCAGTACGAATACCCGAATATACTGACGGCAACTCGCTAGGATTTCCCCATTCTGTAATGGAAACATAAATAGAAAAAATACGGGGAAAGTTGTCCGGATTCTGTCGTACCTACTACGACAGCCGTTGCGTTGACTGTTGGGTCTGGAGCACAGATGCCGATCTCCGTTCGTGGTTCCTGACGATCGCGTAGTGTGACGGCGTCGAGTACCCGGATTTCTGGACGCATAGCTACAGCAGAGCAAACCTAGAAGGCTTCGGTAGGCTTTGTTACAGAAATTCGGCTACCGTATGCTCGGAATTTGAAACTCACGTATAGTCGCTCTTTATTATCTGTCAGTGCCATGAACCTCGTCGACGGCTGACATTCTTCGGCCGAGTTTCCTAGCGCTCGACATTCTGACAGCTCTGCTGGCGGTACAGTAATACGGAGATCGGCGAACTGGAATAAAACCATTAACTTTCATGAATATACAGTTTCAGCCGCTGCGGACTGAGGCGTTTCAAAGGGCAGGCGGGGGTGGACTCGGCGTGGCGCAAGCCTGTTCTCTACCAATTGTAGAAGATAGCAGGGGACCATAGTTGGTGATCAGGCTAGCGCCGCGCCGGATCAGCTCCACTCCCTCCCCTGGAACATCCCAACGCCTCAATTGTAACTAGCCCCTCATTGAGGATCCCGGAAAGTTCTCCCATGAAACCAGGTGTACCCTCCGCAGGCTTTGACTAGCCGGTATCTCTACTGGTTTAGTAAATCTATATCTTTTTTTTAACACTAGCCCTCCAACCCACAACTTTGACTTTGTAGGTTCTATAATTTGCAGGGCCACCTATCACCACCTACCCTGATAAATACTCAAAAACACATTCCGCGATAGTGGGATGGGCGGAGACTCTTAACCATTATGCCATCCTCTCTGATGCGATTTTCGTGGCAAGGAGAAGCGGCGCGTTGAGGAAGGGCCATAGGAAGTGATAGTCTTTGATACGATTTCCTCAACCCAACCATTCATCGCCGGCAGGGTCATTTAACTTTTCAAGTTATGGGTAATCGGAAAGCTATCGATATCTCAAAATGGACGATAATGCGGTGATCTGGTAGTGGCTTCCGGCGCAGTTCAGTTGGGGATGGGGGACATTTTGCACATCTGTTACTTTCCACCGTCAGGTTCAATGTTTTACAAAAACTGACAAGTGATCCCTACAAACTGGTACCACTTCACGACCTCCACAGATTTTGGCAAACTCTGCACTTGGTGGACACGGAAAGGGAAGAGCGAAAGTGCCCAGATGCTGGCCGTCTCCAAGATGAACTGCACCGACCTTCCTCGTTAGAAGTGATAATAGGTGATAATACCAGATTCTCTGAAGTGTCGTTGATGTTGTAGGCCCATAATCGGAAAATTCGTCCACGAGCACCAACGTACAACGAGGCCGAGTTTGAGTCTAACACCAGATTACGGTAATCCAAATCACCTCGCGTGAATATGTTGTCTAAATTGTTTCCTTGAATAATAAGTATAAATAAATATTACTAAAACACAATAATTGTAAAAGAAGAATTTAGAATTTTTTTCCATCAAGACTCCTTGACATAAGGATTTTCAGTTCTAGAGTTTAAAAGGGGTCTTTGAACCTTTGATATTCAAAATAATTTCTTCCTTGAATTTCTGCCTTTCTAATCGGATAATCCTTCCGTCTTTTCTTTTTCCTTTCCTTTTTTCTTTTCTTTTCCCCATTTCATTCCCTGCGCAAAGGTCAGCAACCACATTAACGCGCGCCCTCACGGATCAAAGCCGACACCGACTGACTCTTACAAGGTCATGAGGAAATTACTGGCGGTTATTATAGTCCAGATGGTCAATGGATGAACAACCGTGTGACGACTTTGCTCCAGTTAAAGGGATGTAGTAAAGGCCATAATCAATATTTTTTTCGACGGAAAGAGCCTGACGGAGCCGAAGACCTTTGATAAACTTGTCGGAGTTTCATTCAATCCATGAAGTAAATATACACTCCATACCCGAAGATGTGGAGGGCGTGGCCGCGTACCCCATCTAGACATCGCGTGGCACGCGCTTTTCGTGAGCTATTTCCGCCTGAGACAAGTGTCTGTCATGTGTGGATAAAGACATAATTATAAACTTTACTATTTACACTTTACAGTACCGAAACGTCAAGTTGCCACCAAAAGTGCAACCGCTGCCGCTTTCACGTAAAATGCACAGCCACGCTCTCTCCATCTCTGGCATAAGGTGGATAACTCGTGCAGAGTTAACATATCGAAAAGACGTGGTCAAATCGACACAATACTGGCTGTTTTGTTAACAATTACTACTTCAGCGCGTGTTTTTTTTACTAAGGAGACCAGGGCACGTCGTATGTTCAGCATCCTCGGCGGGGTGTAGTCTTTGCTCCTGAGAAAATAATGCTCCCTCTTTAACTTTTCTCTGCTTTTCCTGTTGCGCTACAATACCTCTCCCTTCCCCCCCCCTCTCCCCCGTCTGACAGCAGTTCTCTGGCAACAGTGCTTACAACAGTTCTGAAAACATCTACCGTCTATATGAAAAAGAAGGCATCCACAGCAAAAGCAATTTCCACATATTCGTTTCACATTATTGACCCCTATTCAACACTTATTGATCCCTATTCACCCCTCACTCGCGAAGTCACCAATCGACTACATACAGCTGATATCGTCGCAATAAGTCGGGGCGGTGTCAAGAAGCATGGGAATGAGCCAACTTATGACTTCCCCTTTGGTTGTTTTCTTCCTGATTCGATCACTATCCAATCACTGCTCGTAGAAAAGGGTGTCCTTGGCGGCCTTATTCCGCCTCCTGACACCACCCTGACTGATTGTGACCATATCGGCTATACTTTTGTCGAAACTGTAGACCTAAGCCATCGAATCGGTTTCAATTTTATTAAAATTAGAAGATATTCACTCATTGGGCCTTCGCCTTTTTATACTCGAAGACATCTCCGATCTAAACCAGAGATAATTTTGCCCCCCCCCCCTCCACCAACTAGGAGGAAGAGGTGTGAACCAAAATGACAATTAAACTCGGGGTGAGGAGCATATGTTCAAAGGATTCCCTCAAAAATAGAACTACCAATGAAGATGTAAAAATTTTTCTTCGGCTAAAGGGAGTTCTGGAATGGGCGAATTAACCTCAAGTACGGTAATTCGGATAATCCCGATTTTGAATAAGGAGTTTACAAATGTATTTGCCATTAAGGCCCTCCTCAGAGCACCCGTTACATGCCAATGATTTGGGTGGGGAGGGGTGGGAGCGGATCTAATGGCGCTGTGATGAAATGAAAAAAGCATGACAATCTAATTCTAATGTAGATGATCAGACAGTTAGCCTCAGAAAGCTATGTAGCACCTCTTCGGCATTAATTTCGGTTGATTTTCTACGCTTCCATTTTTATTTCCCCTCTATGTTCTGTGGGTTTGATGTAAATTTTGGGTAACAGGACAAGTTTTGCCTAATTTTTAGCGTTTTTGCTGAACCCATCATCCCCGCACCGTCTGTGAGTAGATAGTTGGTTGTAGGTGATGGAAAATATTAGGTTGAAAGGGAAGACCGTGCATAAGACCCTCTCCTCTGTTTCGCCTCTACTGTAACACAAAACTGACTAAACCTTCTGCTGTCATCTCTAATGGCGCACCGTACAGTTGGGGCAAGTCGGGGATAGCCACAGACGGGGGTCGTGTTAGGTCGCTAGAGAGGGGGAGGGTCGTAATTGCCTTCGGGAAAAAAGGTTTCCCCGGTTCTGTTACAAGTGATGTGATACACCCTCCCCCCCCCTCGTTCGACGGCAGTTCTTTGGGGAAAGGATGAAGGGAGTGGCTACGCAGTTCGGCTACTGGGGGAGGGGGGGAGGGCATTCAGCTCACTGCTTCACTACTTGCGGTTTACAGGTCTCACTCTGGTGAAACTTGTGAACTTCTGTGAAGCTGGAGCGAGCTCGTCTAGCCCCATGCTAAAACGTGTCAACTCGAGAAAAGACTATCCAGATGGGCCGGTACATCGATGGAAAGCAAAATGCCCTCCCCCGTCGCCGACTTGCACCGGAGGGACTTTCGAAGAAATTTTGAAAAGGTGGTAGGTGAGTTGGGGGGAGGGGGACGTATTCTGCAAATTTCTCTCCCCCCCACGGCATGACGTGGCCTGTCAGCTGTAGACCCTTCTGCAACCTTCAGAACCACCACGATTTTGTCCGGAAGTCGGAGGCTGGCGCATCTTTGATCCCAGAGCTGGGGTCTACTAATAGCATGAAACGATAACTTTGATAATCTCCTAATTCTTTCTAGATGGGGCCACCTGAACCCTTGAAGATTTTACGAGCGCTTTGGCGAAGGTCACACGGACACAAAAGTGACAGGCACAATTTCTATGACATACAAACGCGTGGTTCAGCACTTAAGTGGTCAATTACTCCGGTTTCTAGCCTTTTCTTGTCGAATTAGCCACTCCAAATCAATCAATATTCATGAACGGATTACTGTAGGATAATCCTGAACCAATCTACACTAGATTATCTCAGCTGCGGTATCTGATACTAGTAGGAACCAACTTTCCGTAGTGATAACTTTGCAGTTTTTCTGCCAGAAATCTACGAATTCGTTCTGATAACGACCTTTCCAGTAAAATGAAAAAGGAAGGCAAAGAATTCGGCGCAGTTTGGTTTGGTTGAAGCACCTAGTGGTACTCAACGAGGTTTGAACAGGTTACTTTGTAAAGACCTGTACATGCCTGTGACCAATGTGGCCCAATTACCCCACTTCGCAGCTTCACAAGGGTTTACAGGTCTTCTAAAATGAGACCTGTGAGTTAACATGAACTAACAAAAGGAACTAGCGAAAGCGCAAAATGCCTCTCCCAAGCCGAATAGCGTCATGAATCTTCTACGAACCAGAGGGGACAAGCATAAAAACACAAGTTACTCGGCACGGTTTCAGGCCCAACGAATTTCTGAGCTAAGCAGTAAGTTAGATCAAGGAAAATATGAACCAATGACGTCATTGAAAGCACCGTTTCGATAGAATTTCACAATTTAAGCAACAATTGAACGTATGTAATAGAAAAATAAAATTAATTAACTAATATGCTAAAAAAAGTTGTGTGATGGGCCTTCAGAAGGACATAAACAAACTTCAAAAATAGATGGATAATAAGCAATCGATAGTCCAAGAAATAAACATCCCCTACCTGGCCGTCTGCTAAATGCCCCTGAAGCGCAGATTCCAGTCCATAAAGTACAGAGAAATAAAAATAATCTCATAGCGAAGAACTAGTAGAATAAGGGCAGCGAGCAGTGAGGGCGATTCAGGTAATGGGTAAGGCTTCTAAGCCTTAAGAGGGTACGAGGAGGAAAAGTACAGTTGAAAGGACGACGAGGACGAAGTAGTAGAGGGGGAGGGAAGGGGACGGACGGGACGGATGGACAATAGAGGGGTGGGCGCTGGCTGGCTCAGTCGTCGGCGGCCGCCGTGATGGCTGTTGGAGGATGGCTGTGGTGGCCTGGCCCACCCAGACGTATTGATCGTCGGCCTCATACCCGAAAAAGCACCATAACCCTCGTTCAGACGATCCGACACTAACAACCACTTAGGACACCTGCTGAGACATCCGTGCATTACATAAGGTGTGATTTATGAGTTCGCTGGACGAGAGCTTTACTACGAAAGGGACGTCTAATCTGCTCACAGCCCTTGATTTTGTCTTTCTGTTGGCGTCGAGTCAATAAATCGAAAAAATCTGTAGAACTGGAAGGGAAACCAAGTGATTCCAGCTTCTTCAGCCTTGGCTGCGCCACTCTTCAGTGGTTGGAAATGAAGATGGTTACCATTTCCTGTTTGCTGTTTCTTTTCTCATGGAAAACTTGTTTCCTACAGGGCACGGGAAGGCAAGGCGCCTTGCCAGTTTTTGGGGAAATTTTTTGCGAAGTACGACCCCTGTGCTTGCTCCTCTGGTACAAACTCCCTTCCCCATACCTCATCCTACCTACCATCTTCCTTCATTTTTCGTTTTTTTTTCCTTTCAAAAACCACTCCTCCGTGGTTCGT